ATTATCATTTAACCAAAATAATCTGTATAAAGCAAATTTTGAAATTAATACAAAATTGTGAATAACTTTTGATAGATTAATTTATTTTTAATAATTTTACCACCAAAAAAACTGTCTTGAAAAGATGATTTCAATGAGCTAAAAATTAGCTAAAATCTGATCACAAAATCACAAGATCACTAAGATTTTTGTATTATTTTTGATAAAAATTAAATTAGTTAAACTAATCAATTTTTATCAAAAGTAATAAGAAAATCTTAATAATTTTGTGAGTCTGTAATTGGATTTTAATGATTTTGAGCTTATTAAAATTATCTCTTCAAGACAGTTACTTTGGTGATAAAATTATTAAAAATAGACTAATCTATCAAAAGTTATTCATAATTTTATGTTAATTTACAAAAATTATATATGTATAGATTATTTTGATTAAATAATAATATCTTACAAACTATCAATTCAAATCACATAATTTTAGTACTATTCAAGTTATCTCAATGAGACAAATTGAATGTTACCAAAATCATGTGATTCAAATTGATAGCTTATGAGATATTGTTAGTGCTGTAATAAATTAAAATTTATTTTTTATATTATTGTAAATAATACCTTTATTTTCTTGATAAAATATCTGTATATATATAGTTTATTAGTAATTCTCTATCTATTCTGATAACAATACCCAATTTTAGTATATCTATTAATTTTTTTTGATTATTTTATAACTTATACGTTTAGCAATTTAAAATACAACGATGTAACAAAAAAGTACAAAAAAGTTTTAAACCATTCAATGTTAAAACCAATCCTTTGATTCACCACAACTCATAACCCCATATCTAGTTATCGTATAATTTCAACTAGTACTATGTCGTCAACATCTGTTTACGTAGCCATGACGATCAACATCTGAGCTATGAAATAAAGCAAGTACGTATATGATTCTTAGGAGGACTTGCTTACAATGAACTATAGGATACGCTATCGTACACTGTCACGAGCTAGACTCTAAGGAAACTCTCAATTCGTAAAACCTCTTCAGAGGCTTGAATAAAGTGATTTGCTTAATATTTACCATGATAAGAGGAGAATTATCTTGGGTTAGTATTCTTATGTGCTTCTACCTCGCACAAAAATGTCGTAAACAACCTTGCTCAAATTATGTTCTTTAACGCTAATAAAGAGACTTAAGTGTCTGCGGCTATACAAGTCTTTACTTCACACATCATGCTGCTATTTATTGTACAATTCACAAATTATTTCATAAAATTATCGTACTATTTCTGAGCCTTAATAATAATGAAAATTTCACAGCCTCGATCACAATGCTTCTTATTTAATTGTTGCTCGTACAATTTTATTTATTACAGTACTTGTTTAATCGCTGCATATTAACGTTAACCATTGATGATTAATACTATACACAAATATGGAAGGTGCTTATTTCGTTCCAATAAGTGAACAAATATGGAAATGAAATTCGAGTTACAGTACAAAAATAAGTCGTAATAAAATGTGAAAGTACCGTATGTACGTACGTTTTAACTCTTCTAAAATGATAGCATTACCTAATGAATGTCTTTTCGAAATATTTATCAACCTTAAAAGCAATAAAAATCTATTTTCATGTCTTTTTGTAAACCGTCATTGGTGTAGAAATGTTATACCAATATTATGGCGCGGACCACTTCCTTTTCAAAACAGAAAAGTGATAAGGACATGCCTTTTGGCTTTAAATGCTGAAGAGCAAGCACTATTAATACCATTTAAAGTATTGCTTCCAAACGATCAAATACCATTATTTGAATATACATCTTATATTAAATACATTGAAATTAATTCAGACGATGGAATTATAGATTGGCTTATTCAGGAAGGACGCGGATCTAATGATTCAACTTATTATAAAAAAGATAAAAATATGATTCAGGCCATCAAGTATTCTTTAATCCTAATGTTTTTAAGAGTATCTAATAAACTTAAAGACCTAAAAATTGACGGAATCGTTTGTAGTAAAATTGTTTATTTATTAGCGGATACACTTTTCAAAAACTTATTTTTCACTTCCTCAACTACTTGCGATAAAAGGATTAGTTCAAGAGGATGTAATTTAGCTTCTTTGACGCTTTTTAATAATAGGCTTGGTATAAAAGAAATCAAAGCATTATCAGATGCTCTTTGTAAGAACAATACTTTAACCTCTTTGGATATTAGGTGCACTCAACTCAATATTGATAAAATAATAATACTAGTAGATGCACTTTATAAAAACACCACTCTGTCTTGTTTGAATCTTGAAAATAATAATCTTGGTCCAATGGTAGAAGATGCATTAGCAAAAAGTTCTTTATGAAAATACCACGTTAACTTTTTTTGATCTTTCAGCTAATAATCTTTGTTCAGAAGGGGGATTGTTACTAGCAAAATCTCTTTATAAAAACAATAGCTTAACGCACTTAGTACTTTATTATAATCAACTTGGTTTTGAAGGAGCAAAAGCATTTGCAAAAGCCCTTTATAAGAATACCACATTAACTCATTTGAATCTTGGTCATAATAATCTTGGTGATGAAGGGGCAAAAGAATTAGCAGAAGCTCTTTATAACAATAAGACTTTAATTTCATTGAACCTTAGATTTAATCATCTTGGCATTGTGGGAGTAAAGGCATTAGCTAAAGCTCTTTGTAAGAATGCAACATTAAAGTCTTTAGATCTTTATTATTGTAATCTTGGTGTCGAAGAAGGAAATATATTGGCAGAAGCTCTTTGTAAAAATACTACTCTGACTTCTTTAAATCTTGGTCGTAATAATTTTGATGATAAGGTATTAGCAGAAGCTCTTTGCAAAAATAATACCTTAATTTCATTGAATCTTAGATTTAATCAATTTGGAATTGAAGGAATAAAAGCGTTAGCAGAAGCTTTTTGCGAAAATACAGCTTTAGCTTCTTTAGATCTCTGCCATTGTAATCTTGGTTCTAAAGAAGGAAAGATCTTAGCTGAAGCTCTTTGCAAGAATAATACTATAATCTTTTTGGATCTTAGTAGTAATAGAATTGATAATACAATTTTAGATAGTATTGGTAATTTACTTATTAAGAATAGAATAGGTAAAACGAATTAAGAAAATTTCTTAATATTGTAATTTTTAAGATTAATAAACGTTTATATCTTGTGCTATAACTTTGATTTAACTGAGTCACATAAGAGGATATAATAGATTGCATTAATTTTTTTTTAGTTATTAAATAATTCGTAAAATTATTTAATGTTAACAAAAAAATCTAGAAGTCATAATAAGTTTGTTCGCGAAATCAAAATATTCTTGCTTTCGTGCGAGCAGAGATAATATGTCGCGGTAAGTTCGATTGTAAACTTAAAATTTGACGTATATTTATTTATTCATTAAAGCTAAATTGATCAAAAAAAATGATAAAGTGAATGCATCATAGGTGTCGTACACTTCAAATCATCATTAATAGAAGATACTATCGTACTGTTTCTTGAGTCTTCTACGTAGTTTCCCATCTCTCTTACTTGTTTTCTCCAATATTTCAATGACCGTTCTCCATGACTTAATAATTTACTATTACTCGTGACTTGCATATTATCCAATTAATAATATTTTCATATATATATATTATATATTGTTATTTTCACGTAAATAGATATATACGCGTACGTTCTCATTTTTCGTATCATTTAAAATCAATACTTTGATCTAAACTTGCAATTATTGTTAATGTAATTAATATTGGCTAAGCGATTTGTTTCTGCGCTCTAAATTAAAGCACTGTTCTCACCAAACTTCCAACTATACTTTTAAATTTTACTTTCAATCAAATAGAAAACTGACTTTTTAATACCCATGAAGTATCCCGCCACGCCCAATACAATCTTGTAATGAATGCGCTGAATACTATTTACACTGAATATAATTTTTTGAACCTTAAATAAATGCATACACATGTTGCTAAGTGTGGAAGATACATTTTATTTTTTGTAAATGAGAGAAAAACCCATATATATCTAATGATCAAGAAATATGCTAATGAAAAGTTCTCTTTGGCAAACTCTCTATTTGAGTAGCATGGAAATCGAATCTATATTATTGTGGTTTGCAAAAAGATGTGATCCCACTATTTTATAATAATGATGGGAATTCCAAAGGTTATACTCCTGAAACTGCATTATTGATTGGGGTGTCACCATTCAGTTTAATCACAAACATATGGCAAGATACATAGTAAAAATCATTATTTAAGATTTTTTTTTAATTGATTTGCGAAATTTTCAAATCATTAATAAAAAAATGCCTTCGCGCAAACTTAAATAACTTCTGTTATATTAATTCTTTTTTAATTCTGCGAGTTGATATTTATTCTTTAAAAGTGACTATTAAGTAATAACTGCATATTTTAAATATTAATTGCTTTTATACTACTGTACTATTGTCATAAGCATTTAAGCATTACATCATTCAAATATCAATGAATAGGGTTGTTAAATACTTTTGTTAAAGTATTATAACAATATCTTATAATGTCTATATACATACATTATAATTAATATATTTAAAATATGCGGTTACTACTTAATAGAAGCATTCTTAAAGAATAAAAATCAACTTGCGAAATTAAAAAAGAATTAATATAGCAGAAGTTATTAAAGTTTGCACGAAGACATTTTTTATTAATCGTTTATTAAAAATCGAGAATTTTAAAATCGATTTCAAAAAAATCTTCACTAATGATTTTTATTATATGTCTTGTCTAAGTTTGTGATTAAACTGATTAGTGACCCCCAATTATTGATGCATCTAAATGTACTCTAAAATTTCTTTGGTTGTGATATAGTCATCACATGAAAATTAATATAGAGATTAGGGTACATTAGATGTATCAAAAAAGTAGGCGAAGATGTATCAAAGATCGTAAGTTTTGCACCCAGTACCATCACCAAATTTTACGGACATGATTTTTTTTGTGGCATAAACAAATCAGATTACAAGATCAGGTATAACGTCTGCTTGTAGACCCATAACCAGAATCCAGAGACAGATTTAAGGAAATCAAATTTTAATTTATGACAATACTTCAATTTATATCCCATAAAACACCCAAATATTGGTATTAGCCGTTGTAAATATCCGAATGCGCTAGTCAGTAATGTACTGTTACTAATGTTCAATATTCCATCGTATTAGAAGTTTTATGAAATGTTTCGTAATTGTCATGGATACACTTCTTTCAAACGCTTGCACTAAATTTATCATTATTTTTTTATTCTTACTTCGATTACATTTATTGTATAAAACGTTAATACGATACCTGCCAGTGTTGCAAAAGTATTTCCAACAAAGTCAAATCCAGTTGCACCAGCTGATTGAGAATTAGCTACAATGCCACCTGAAGGTGTATTACCTTCATGCAAAGACATCACCCGTGCGGCAGTTGAATGCTTCGAAATACTTTTCGGACGAAATCCTATCATACTGTATATATAAAACTGGTCTACCTACTAAATAACCAATGATTAGTGATGCAATGGCCTTTTTTAATGTTGATCAAATAGTCTACGTAATGCGATTGAATATCGTCAATGAATTTCTTTTTATCTAGTTCATTGTATAGAAATCGTATCGTTTTTTTACGAGTAAAAATTTCAACGTTACTTTTATTATTAAAGTGAATCATTATAGTGCGGACGATTTAACTTCAGAAAATGTTTTTTTTAATATCGCTCTTTTATTAGAGTATCGAAAAGAGGAAGTGCAATGCAAGATATCAATAAGTTTGGCTACTCAATGCTATTTATGCTGCTGCATGATTTTTGTCGCACACAGCACAGTATGCATCATAAATAAATGAGATAATAAAGATAAATGATTATTCGTTTGGTTAATAAAATCTATGAGAGATTAATACTTTATATTCGTATCATGGCACTGAGGTTCGTTGTTTGCAAGTCGTCTATTGGGACTAAGCAGGTTCTTTTTGTCAATTGCTAAATGATTTATTTACAAAATATGTACGTACGTTGAAGAAGGTGAAAATACTCTGGGATCTGGATAACACAAATACTACAATATAACACTATACTTTATACTAATTAAACTACTATATTTTAGCCCTAACCATGGTAAGGTTTCGATCGAGGCGTGAAAGGCTTGGTCCGAGTAACTAGGGTAATTAGATCTCTA